TTTACAACAATACAATTCAGTTCTATTTTTTATTTTTTTAAAAACTCGATTAGGTTTTAATTATAAAAGATTAGAAAAATGGATTATTATTAAACAAATAATTCGATAGGCACAAACTCTATGTACAAATTAACTTATACTAAATGATGTGCTATAATATGATTAAATGACTTAATATTAAAGATAAAAAAAGTCTTTCTTAAATAGAATGACCACATTAGTTGCCTTATCAATGACATGTATTCCTTAGGGTCTATTTGATTTGTGATTCAAAAACTCAAATTTTTAAGTTGTATGAAAATGTGTTTTGAATATTTGAAAATGTGTTTGATATAATATTCAAAACCTATTTTCAAATTAATATTGTCAATTTTTAATCATTTTGTAATTTTATTCGTAAACTGATTTCGAAAACAAATTGACTTATTCTTACCAAAGGCATTTTTACAAGATTTGTAATGACCCTTGTTTTCAAAAATAAAAAACTGAATTTAAATTTTATATCAAACATGCCCTTAATTATTCTAGATATACCTTTATTTTTTGGTACAAAATGATTAAAAATCTCTCAAATCTCTTGGTAGGGACGTGGGTAACACTTTTTGAAATTCATGGGTGATTGGAATATAGCAATCTTTTAGGGGTTGATGTGAATTTTTTTTTTGGAACACTAAAAATAATGAAGCAGAAATTTCCGGTTAGTGGGAAAACAGGAAATAGAATAACAAGTCTTAAGTCAAGGAGATGAATACCAGGAAATTGCATAAAAGTATGCAGTAGACTAGTGGATCGTAATTGACGGGAAAACTTTAGAAAATTTCTAACATAAAAAGAAGAGGAAACTTTTCTGATTCGGAAATTTCCCGGACGGTGACAAAATACTCATCCAGATGACATGAAGTTTCATGGCTATCTGATGTGTTGGTAGTATAAATACTAAGAACCCATAGCAGAAATCACAAGTGAGAGAGGTTCAGAATGTCATAACCAAATCTAAGTTTTTTAGTGACTTCATTTATCAAATTCAGAGATGAAATATCATCCAGACAAGCGTGATTATAGGCATTTTCAAAGCTCTGTAATAGAAATAATGCGAGCTACAATGGTGGCGTGCATCCTTATGTTCTTAGCAGCAGTTAATTTCATCAGAAGAGATGAAGTAAACAACAGTTATAGTTTTGTTTTGAAGAAACATACCTGCATGTATCAAGGCTTTGTAATCTGCATCATCTTCTCCTTCACGGGTGCATTTAGTGCGTTGTTCATTGGACACCAGCAGCACTTTGTGACATTCCAAAGAATCTACTGCATTATTTCATTGGTTTCCATGTTCTTTGCTTTCTCCATTCTTGCATCTACCTTGTTTTTATATTTCTATTACTGCTGCATCTCCCTGTTCGCCATGGCAGTTGGCACTTGACCCACTGTAATTGCAACTAAAAATATATGGTTAACTTATTTTCCAATTTTCTCATGCTAATACTCTCTCTAATCCTTCCTCACATTTAAACACTGCAATCCAGTAAAGAAAATGGATTCAGGGCATCAATTCAAAGGGCAAATAGACTCCCTCTGGTTCATTACAGTTTTTATTGTGCTTATGGTTAATTTGTATCTATTGTATAGTTATGAAATCAGGAGTTGTTTCATTTACAAGAAAGCAATTGAGTTTTCTTGTCTGCATCATCTTACTTTAGCCCACTGAAAAGAAAGAGGCTGACCCTGCTAAGCTTGTATTTACCATAAAGTTTTATTTTGCCTTACACCATTGAAATAATCAAATCATTGATCATTATTTAAGATGTAAAGCTTAATTTATGCACTTTCTGAAGCAAGGAGTGTCTATTTCCTGGAGACAGATTTCAGATATATGGTTCAGAACTTTGCTGCATGGCTAAACTTCTGAAAATATCTTTGATGCACGATTCATAGTAGTATATCTTTCACACATTTTCTGCATGCCTAAGATTCTTTAGAGAAGTATCAACTCCAGCGATGATAATCTAATTAAGTATCCAGCACACTTCCATAGCCGCCTCATGCGTCAAACTGCCAAAAAAACAAAGGAAATCAAAATATGCACTCGATTTCTCGTGGCAAAGGAGTGAACCAGAACCAAATTACAAGGTTCATTAACAATGCGTACTCCAACCCCACCTATTGCTTTAAAGAAGCAGGACGGCAAAGAGTTTGCTCCATTTATCCTCCTTCTTGGGGTTGTTTTATCCCAACTAAAATTATTGAGTACTCCAAGCACCAGACTCCTGCCAAAGAAAAAAAAAAAAAGGAATAGGGAGAGATGCAACACCCGGACAGATCTCAAACAATATTTAAAGCACGAGAACTGTAAGAAAATACATAGGATAAATCATTTTATCAGAGGTATATAAAATGCATTCCTAATAAGCACACCTAAAAGTAGCAACATAACATAAAGGTTTTCTGTCAATAATAATAAATTTCAGAATAAAACCATTTTGATTTGAGCAACATGAATAAACAGATCCAGCACTGAAAATTCTATTGTTTATTTTACTGGCTTAGGAGTCTAGAATTCTAATTGAAGACATTGTAAGAGCATTTTAAGCTACAGCGAAAAAATAATAATAACGGAATAAAGATGTCATGGCCTTTGTTGGATTACTTAATTGAAATTTTCAAATTACCATGAAGAATATAGCAACCTCAATATAATTACAAAATTAAAAAAGTGCCGATTTCAGAATTATGCATGAGAAGCTCTCTTTGACAAAGCAACTCTAACTACAATCCTAAGTCCAGTACTAAATATTTTTTCAATGTACTCCCACGAATAGGTAGAAAACTAAGCAGTAACACCTAGTATAAAACAACAAAAAAAAGAAAAAACAGTGAAACAGGAAGAAGGTGAAAAAACCAAAGCAATCAACTAGAGTTTTTACCAAGTACATAACAGAGAATGTAGTTTCAGCCATTAAGTAAAACCTCCACAGTGCAAGTTTCAGTCAAAAGGAGAAGAAATTAATAGTACTGCCAAGGTTTAAGACATATTTCCTCTAGCAACAATTTATTTTATCTTGAAACTATGATTCAAACTGATCTTGCAACTAGCTAACTCAACCCAAACATCAATAATGGTACCTATGGAAATCCAAAAAGCTTGACACCCAAGCTACTCAAAATTATGAAGCCACAAACAGGAACATGCTACGCTAGAGCAAACAACATTTTGTAACAGTTACCGATTGCTGTAGAATAAACAGAATAATCTCTAGACCAGATTCATTAAACACAATAAAACACCCAGCATGCACAGTGAATCACACCAATTATTTCAATGCAGAACCATTCTCAGCATAAATCAGACTTCAGTAATAGTAAAAGATAAAGCATGTACCGGAATCAAGAGGGATAAAAAAAAAAAGATCAAAGCAGAGGTCCTTTGGTATAATTGTCGTTGGCTGGACAAATCATATTAGTCTAAGATTAATAACACAATGCGCTTTTAATGAAAAGGAAAAACAAAGAGATTTGAAGGGCAAGTTTTAATGTTGTTGAAACTAGCACTAGAAGAGTAGGAAGTCTTCCTGTTAATGTTTGGTGCACATTACTGAAATCTTACTTGCCTTTTTAAGGAGAGCAAAGCAATGCCTTCAAGGATTTCTAGCTTTAATTCAAATGAAAAAAAAAAAAAAAACTTGATATGCAAATTCAAGGTGAGATTTAAAAAGATGCATCACCAACCAACAATACTGCATTTTCTTCCAATTAATTAGAAAGCCATACAAGTTATATGGTTTTTAGTGGTCTACTTAAAAGTAATATGGGAAAATCACAAAAGAAAGCACTCATGAATCAGACTAAATTAAAAAAGAAAAAGAAAAAAGCAGGACATTAAGGTTTTTGTAGGAATTTGCACTACAAAACAAAGAGAGAACCAAATAGCTGGGTAGCATCAAGGCCAATGCAAGTGGGTTAGTAGCAATGTTATGAAGACTTTAGGCTGTTTGGAGTTTGCTGCCTTAACAATTATCCAGGACTCTGGGAGGGAGAAAAAAAGTCACCAAAATTCTGCAAGATGGAAAGAGAAAAAAAATATATATATATACATATATATATAAAATATGGGAATGTTTTAAGAAAAATATCTGATGATTTAAATGAAAAACAATGTCGCTGAGAGAGAAAGAGAGAGATAAATGCTTCAAACATTTTTGCTCAAGTTCTAGTGTGTTTTAAAAAGCAGTCAAGTTAGGATTTATATGTGGTAAGAAATTCACTAAATCGTTGGAAAACTACAAAATAAAAACACATGAGCAATATACTATTATTTGGAAATGAATTTAAATTTGATTTTAGTTAAGATTCTTCAAAATTGAAATAAAATTGATTAAGAATGTTTCAATACTTTTACAGTACTGTTCTCTATATTTAGATGTTTATATTTTGAAACAGGACAAATAAGCAATAATTGGTTTCATTTTCCACCAAAACTCTCAACTGGTGAAGAAGTCTGCAATTGGTGTCAAAAGAGAGAGTAAACGTGCATGCTTTGATTAATTTCATTTCTCTCCTATCTTTCTATACAAACAATGAAAAACTTAAGAATGGAATGAACAGAGAAAAAGAAAATGTGAGAAAATGAGAAATAAACATATAGATACATATATATACACACAAAATGGAAGTTTAAAAGGGAAGGCAGCAGCAAGCAAATCAACCAACATTGTCCTCATGTTTGATATTGCAAGCATGTAGAGAAAACAACCATATAGAGTTGTCTCTGTTTACAAGAACTTGCATAAAAATCAGTGTGTATGAAACTATCAGTGTGCAAGTGTATAGTGTTATGTGTGCATTCATGCATGTATGTGTTTTTGTGAATTTTAAGAGCTTTAATACTAGACTGCAGAGCGGGGCCGTTTGAAGTAGGAAGTAAATAAAAATGGTTAACACTAAGGTTTTGGGAAGAGGTAAATGAACAAAAATAAAGAATGTAAAAGAAAGAATAGAACCGGAGATTATCTTCTGATTCGGCCTTGAGAAATAAGTTTCCATGTCCTCTGTCTCCAATCTTCACTAGTAGGTGATAAAATAGCTGCACGGTTTTGCAGTCCCATTTCTGATTTTTCATTAGGTGAAGATTGTAATTCCCCATCGAGATTCCGGACTGCATGAGCTTCCATTTTGTTACAGCTCCCCTCCCTCCATCTTTTACTTCTCTGTTCTCTGTTATAAGAACCCCGGAAATATCTTGGCTGTGTACAAAATACTACATTATCTAACATATTTTCACCGGTTACCATTTGCTTGCATGGTAGTTTCCAATTTGCACTCTTGGTTCCATGTAACATTAATTTTGACTCTAATTCAGACAGCATCTGGAAAGCGTGTTCAAAGGATTTAGTGTACAGATCATCCACTGGTTCATTTAGAGATGAAGCTCTTACAGCCTGAAGTAAAGATTTTGCTTCTACAATCCTGTTCAAATGCATCAAGCAGATTGCGAGGTTGCACTGCTTGTTCTTGTCCTGCTCCAGAGACAGAGCTTTCCTGCAAGAAATTTTTTACCATGATATATGTTCTCATTTTGTTTAAAATATTGACTATGTTAGCATACTGTTAAATGCATGAGAAAACTTGCATATAATATTGTTCAGCCCTCTGATAATCATTTTTCTGCAAGTAAGCCCAGGCCAAGTTGCCAAGTATCCTGCATTATAGTCAACCAACATCAAATTAATTGAAAAGGAGTATTTAGTGAATAAAGAAGAACAAGAATATCTGCAAAAATCCACCTTGATAACTCCTTTACAAATGTTATTTCGTGCTTCTTCCCCCGAGATCTTACAATCTTTGTATTCTTTGCACCAAAAGCTATAGCTTCTTCGGTAACTTTCAGTTTGCGCTGAAGCAACTCAATCTCTTCTTCAATCCTTTTAGACCTCTGCAAAGGCAAAATGAAAAAAAAGTACAGACGTTTACATTAAATCTAATAGTGAAAGGGGAACATTAAATCGTCATGATAGCTTCACTGCAACCAGTTGATCCAGCTATAAGTGCTGATCGAATTCCACAAACTTAAACACAATGTTGGTAGTAAAAATCATAATTTCTTTTTTCTTCTGTTAACACTTTAACATCATATTGTGCACATGCAAAGTTAATACGAAAACTAATAAAAAATTCCAGTCTTCATCGTATCTGTCAAGTGGTTAAAAGCAACAGTATTGCACTTTGAAATATTAGTAATAGAAATAAACTTGAAACCTTGTTACTTTATTTCGAAGGTTGATTAATTAGAGATGAGAGTTATGACCTAGCTCATTTCAGCTATCACATGTCCCAGCAAACGAATGAATTTTAATTGATGAAAATGAGAGGACTGACCAGATCAACTCAAAATTATGCAAATGTGCCTTAAAAAAGAAAAATAATAAATAAGTAAATTATTCTCGTGATTGACAAATCAGACAAGCAACTCTGCCTTTCAATGTGAACTACTTAAAACAGCAAACAAAAACGACGAGCTAGTTAAATACTTTTAGTATTATTATTATTCTTTTTTTAAGAGACTGCAATGATTTACCTTGTAGAGTTCAATCAGGATATTGTCAAGAGATTCCTGAGAATCATCAGGGCACAGATGACGAAAAGATTTGATGGCCTCAATTGCCTCATCAGATCGATCCAACTGTTTCATCGCAACTGCCATGTCTTTCAAGGCACTATCAACCCGATCCCCTGCATTTATAGCAGCCCAGAACATGGAAATAGCCTTGTTTGGATCCTTCTCAATCAACTGTATTTGAAAAACTCCACATCAAAACAATACATATGAAGAAAAATTAATAAATTCACTAAAGAACCCCAAATCATCAATATTAAAATTTTGATCATCAATTTTTAGATAATCGACCGTAGTCATTATTCACTACAATCAATTATAACATCTATATGTGAACCCCAACCCTAGCTTTCACATGAAAGAAGCCACCAACAAAGAAATCAAGAATAAAGAAAGAACAAGAACAAGACATGAATTCAAAAGCAAGAAAAGAAAGAAAACAAAAACGACGTTACATGACCTGAATACGCTTGGCCTTGACGTAGGGAGAGTCACCGGCCGGGACTTTATGAACGACATGGAAGAGTTCGTCGTCGTTTTGGTCATTTGACGTCCGCATTGTGAAATTTAAGAGAAATGAACTGAACAATTGAAATATTAACGGTACGGATACTGAGATTGAGATTCAAATTTAGATCAGTTTAGAGTTTACAAGAATTAAAGCAAATTAAATTTTCTGAGAAAAAAATGCAGATTCAAGAAACTGAGAAGGCGGGAAGAAAGTGAAGTATTTATGGACAGACGCTGGTTAGTTGTACGGAGCGAGAAACCGTTATAAAGTTGAGATTGTACACGTGGCAGCCTTTATTTTATTTTTGAACTTTGACAAATAAAAATTTGCAAAAAGAAAATTAAATTTATTATTTAATAACTCTTATGTTTTTATTGCTTTTTAATTTGATTAGACATTGATATATTGACTTCATAAAGAATAAAAATGGTTTCACTAATACTCTTTTACAAATGCGACGTGATAGTTTACAATTTATTAATTTGTATTTAGTTGGACAGAATTAATACAAACTAACTAATTGAGAGTTGACACATTATGTTCATGAGAGAAAGTTAGTAAGAAGTGTTTATTAGTATAGTATTATTTTTTCTTCGTAAATAGGGGATTATCAATTGAGGGTCATTTTTATTAAAAATTGACCTGAAAAGGACCGCAAGTTTAGACATAATAAGAAAAAGGCCATTTAAACGGCCCAATTCCAGTAACCCTAACACCAACATAGGTTAAATTGTTAATTTTATCACATATCAGATCAAATTTTTTAAGTTAAAATACCAATCTTTGATTGACAGCTAGGTAACCCAATTATCCCATAACCAATAAGGATGTGCCATGTGGATTTAAAAAATATATAGGGTAAAGCATAGCCCCTAAGGTATCATTAAATAACAAAAATTCTCTTAAGGTTTCTGAAATAACAAAAGTTTCACTACCGTTAAAATATTAGTGAATGTTAAAATTTACATTGTTAAGAATTCATAAATGTTACCAAATTGCCTTATTACTATTTATTTTAACACCTAAAGCTTAACTACTGTGGGGAGATTCCTATTATTTTTGAAACCTCAAAGAATTTTTATTATTTATCATATCTCAAGAGGATTAATGTTATTAACTCAAAAATATAAAAATAGAAACAATAAAAAAAAAAAAAAAAACCTAAAATATTTGGTTGAGGTCATTGGAAATGGTGGCCGATAATTGTTTTGGCGCGTTTCAGTATCAATGTAGGTATTGAAATAATTGTCTCATGCTCTATGTAAACCTATAATATGTTTTCTCAACTATTTTTTGTCAGGATCTAACGGTGAAAGTTTGGGTGGTCTCACTTTCTCCCTTAGATCTTGACCAAGTGTCGCGAGTGTTTTAGTTAAAAATTATACATCTAGATAGAACGATTAAATACGATAATTTTGATATAAATTTTATTACCTCATTGTGCTGATGAATTTTTCGATCACCGGAATTTGGTGGCTGAAATTTTTTTTTGACGAGTTTGGGTAACAATTTAGGTGTCAAAATGTTCGTTTCTTAATGCTCTACTTAACTGTGTAATTTTTATTACCAATAAACTTTGTATTTGGCTGGGATTTGACAAAGAAAGTTCAGGTGGCCACTTATGCTCTGACAGATCTCGACCAAACATTTCCTTTATTCCAGTTGAAAATTATATGTATAGATAGAGCACTTACATATGATCATTTGGATTTTATTACCTCAATACTTGATGAATTTTCCCATTACTAGTGTTTTCCGACAATGGGATGCAACTAGACCTAGCAAAATGAGAAATATACCCATGGGTCCGTGGGAACTTGGTAGTTTTAGCATGTACGAGTTAATGTATTTAGGACCCATGGAAATATTACCCGTACCCGGCCTGTCCGTTATTTTCATGGGTGGGCCGATTGATACCCGTGATACTTGCACAAAATAAAATAAAATAAAATAAAAAGTCAATAAGGGTGAAGACTGAAGAAGAAATCAACAATTTCTATAAATCCCAAAAAACAAATCAATAATATCACATAATCTTCTCTCTTAAACCCATGGATCAACAAATAATTTCTACCAACAAAGATAAACCCACAAATCAACATTCACACCAACAAAAATAAACCCACAAATCAACAAGAGAAGACATGGATCAAGCCGTGAAGTGGTTGCCGTTCGCCGACAACCTTCCACAGCGCCAACACATGCTCACCATCACTGGTGAGCATCACTTGGTGGCAATAGAGATTATAGATCTATGGTGTTAGAGTGAAGCACACAAAACGCTGCCATTGTGCATTTAGTGGAACACTGTCGTTTTACTCTTGTCATCACAAAGAAATCCAAACCATTGAAGGACATTAAAATCTGACGGCCAGGGTCCATTCTACCCAAATCAGAATGCAAAAAACTTTACCTTGTTGCTGCGTTTTTCAGTTTTGTTGCTGGGTTTTATTTTAAGTTTTGTGTATTCTGTGAAAAAAGATATGCTTGTATCGTCTCTTTCTTGGCTGTAATCTTTGTGTGGTTGGTTGTAATCCCTTGTAAGGGTTGCGTTTCCCTTGAGTCTTGAGGATCTAAGTTTAGAGTTCTCATAGGAAGATTTCAGTTTGTTGTGTGAGAGATATATGCTGTTTTAGAGTGGATTTGGGTGTAGAATCTGTTTGTATCAGGTTGTATCAATCTTTAGTGCAGCGAGCTCCTGAGTTTCTTGAGCTCAACGTGGATGTAGTTTATCCTATATAGGATAAGCGAACCACGGCAAAAATTCNATGCATCTAGACCTGGCAAAACAAGTAATATACCCATGGGTCCGTGGGAACTTGGTAGTTTTAGCAGATATGAGTTAATGCATTTAGGACCGTGGAAATATTACTCGTACCCAGCCTGCCCGTTTTTTCATGGGTAGGCTGAGTGATACCCGTGGATACTGCACAAAATAAAATAAAATAAAATAAAAAGTCAATAAGGGTCAAGACTGAAGAAGAAATCAACAGTTTCTGTAAATTCCAAAAAACAAATCAATAATATCACATAATCTTCTCTCTTAAACCCACGGATCAACAAATAATTTCTACCAACAAAGATAAAGCCATAAATCAACATTCACACCAACAAAAATAAACCCACAAATCAACAAGAGAAGACATGGATCAAGCCCTGAAGTGGTTGTTGTTCATTGACAGCCTTCCACGGCGCCAACACATGCTCACCATCACTGGTGAGCATCACTTGGCGGCAATGGAGATTATAGATCTATAGTATATTTAGTTTATAAAAGACATAGGGAAAGTGGAGAATGAAACACAAAGATGAAAGAACAAAGGAAAAAAATGGGAGAGAAAATCACTTAAGGCTTTGTTTGGTATACTTTTTTGAATAATATTATATTCTAAATAGGATATGATATGATTTAATCATATAGGATAGGATTCTAAGAATGTGTTTGATACATTTTTGGAAACATTTTCTGAAAGTATTTAGATTTTTTAACCCCTCTACATTTGTTAATTTAGCTCAACACCCTCCACAATAAAAATTTATAAATTAATAAAAACATACTCACCCACCCAATTGATTGCCGGAATTCGGCCACTACCACCAAACGATGGTCGAAAATCATCGGAATGGCTCACAATCGACTAGATCTGGTCGATCGTACTTCGATCTAGCCACTTTCGCCCGATCAATGGTGGATTCGGCGCACAATCAGCCATATACGACTGATTGTGCATCGTTCCGGCATCGGCGACCGATGGTGGCAGCAACGACGGCTGGCGACCGATTGTGGTTACTGGCAGGCGACTGTTGCTTGAATGGGTGGGGGTATTTTTGTTAATTTATAAACTTTTATTAAAAAAGGAATTGTTAAATATTTTGAGTTGAATATAATAGAATTGGATTTTGAACAATATTAAAACAAACATGTTTTTTTCATATTTTAGGATTGGATAATAGAATAGAACAGGGTTAGAAAAGTTAAACAAACCGGGGGTAATCTCTTTTCAACAGGAGAGAGGGAGAAGAAGAGGACAAAGAAGAATTGGAGGAAGGGTGAAGACTGAATAAGAAGAAATATGAAAAAGTGGAGAGGGAGAAAAACACAAAGAAGAATTGGAGATGAAAAAAAATAAATAAAAAAATGGAGAGGAAAAATTTGAAAAAATAAAAGAAACAAGTGACCCGTGGTTCCATCGTACCAGCATGACCGGGTATGGGTGATGTATTTCCTTGCCCATTCACAATTTTTACCCATTTGACCCATACCCGTTTAACCTATACCTGTGGTTACCTGACCCGTACTCGCCTGACCTATCTGTTTGCTAGGTTTGGATCCAACTTTCAAATGACTAAATTTTAATAAAAAGGGTGTTTTAGCAAATGTATTAAACTAAGTCGAGTTTAACGGAATTGGGGTGTTAAGTGGCCCTTTAATTTAAAAAGTGACCCTAAATTAATAATCTCTTTCGTCATAAACAAATGTCACTGGCGAAAAGTCTCAAATAACCAAATTATAAATCCCAAATAAACAATTACTTAAATTATTCCCTTTCTTTTTTTTTTCTATTGATATTCTTTCATAAGAATGTTATGAGANAAGCAGGTTTATATAAGAGATGATGATTTGGGGGAGAGATGAGATGTGATTCGACATTTGAGAGTTGGAGAGTTGCGAGAAAGTGTTTCAAATTGCAACGGAAAAGTGCAAATTGCAATGGAAAAGTGAGCCGCCATTTGTGTTTTAAGTTTAAGAGATAGGCATGGTTGATTGGATGGGGGAATTGATGGGAATTGAGAAATTATTATATTAAAAAACTCTTAAAAAAATCGTTTTGGGTAGAGGTAGAGGTTAGAGTAGGCATAGGTGAGTAAATGCTAAATGGTGGGATACTGGGATTGATAAAAAAAAAAATTATAAATATATTAAAAAGTATTTTAAAATATAATTTTGGGGCCCCCTTTTTAACACCCTTTTTTGGGGGCCCTAGGCAGGTGCCTTACCTGCCTAGGGGTTAAGTCGGGCCTGATTAGATGGTTTTAGATAAATTTAC